GAAAAATTAAAAAGACTAACAATGAATAAAACAAGAACCAAATTTCTTTTTCAATTTGAAATCGACAAATGAAAGAAAAAAAGAGATAGGGAGAAAAGAAGGATACGATGACGACATATTCGAAAAAGATTTTCCTATCTTCCTTCCTTCTTCTCCTTGATTCATTTTATAGAAAAGAATAGAACAATTCTCCTTCCATTTTCATCTTGCCATTTCTCTGATTTCTTCTCACCCAACGCAAATGGAAAGATGACTTCCTTTTTTTTCCTTACCTCCTTCCTCACTGTTCCTCCTTCTTTTATCTTCTTCTCTATTATTCATCATTTTCAAAAGAATGAATATGAAAGGCGTGAAGGCATCGCATCCCATCAAGTCGTCCAAAATGGAATTACCCTCTCCATATCTTTCTTCTTTGCTCATATAGGAAATGGAGAAAAAAGACGGAAGATTCTAGCGAGTTTTGATCACCCAAAGCCGAGCTGTTGGAACTCCATTTTCGGAACAAAGCATGGTGCACCGTCCCCTAAACAACATGAAAAGAAAAGGCATGGTCTGTGAACACAAACTACTTCCAATATCCGGTTGATGAAGACATGACTACCTTTGGTAGCTTGCACGGATTCCCATACTTTAAAACAAACCCATTTCTCCTGGCACTGGTGAATATCCGCAGAAGAAACTAATGGAACGGCAAGGTGTTACTCTGTGGCCATAGACACTCGGGTGAAACCTGAGGCGCACAAAGAACCCTAAACCCTAAACCCCTAAATCCAAGTTTGCAAGTTGCAGCTCCAAACACTCAAGTTTGTGGTCTTGGGCCACTCATCTAAATCCCAAGTACTCAGCCTCTTCTTGCATGACCAGTACCAGGAGAGAGCCTATGGTAGTCAGGATAAGCGCAAGTCCAAAATTCGTCGTCATGAGTAGAGCAGATTCACGATTTGAGAGGCACAAAAAGCCTCTCACCTCCTCCATGCTAACATTGACTTCCGCAGAGATCTTGTCTCGGGACGTTGCGGTGGCAAAAGGCTGACAGTTCATGCCTGGCAAGGACAACTTGTTCATGGCTTGCCAGATTGCTCCAGGTGTCCAGCCCCCTTCCTTGCTCCCACGCTGCTGCCGCAGCCAGCGCATGCCAATGGCCACAATCAACTCCGTCAACAACATACCAAATCCAGCCACCAGGCCAACAACGTAAGTGGCCGGGCGGAAAAGGTAGCGGCAGGTGGGCGACGCTCGCTCGCAGTCAAAGGTTGTGCGCTGCTAAAGAAGCGAGCATATAGAGGATAAATGACAAAAACGTGATGACCCAGGAAAAATATGCTGCCATGGAAGAGGATCGGAGGACGAGATCCTTCTGGGCTCCATATTCCTCGATCTCAGGCACGCGCCAGCCCACCTGACGGGCAGCCATGCGCCTCGCAAAAAGTACTGCAGTGCCAATTACATTGAAGCGGCCAAGTATGACAAATGCAGCCTTAGCTGTGGCAAAGAAGGGTTTGCTTTTGTGTTTGGATTTGAATGGGTCAAAAGGCAACGCTGTTATGTTTGGGCAACATGCTGGGAAGGGCCTAGCAACATGTGTAGCCACGGAAATCGCGCCCCTGCGAACCACCTGCCACTCACTGCCCTGTCCGATAGCAAGCATCAGCGCAAGCCCACCATAGTAGAAGCCTTCTGAAGAGACAGCAACAGTGGAAATGCCAGCTGTCAGCCATAACGCGGAACAATCACGACGGCCAGGAAAATACATCCAAGTGAATCGCATCAAAGGGTTGAGGACTATCTTGTACACGAGCGCAACCACTGGATAAAAGATGTCCTGGAGATCTTCCGTTGGGAGCAATGCCCTCAATGCCGCAAGGTAGCTGCCGAGAAAAAGGGTCAGGGCGCCCATCAAGCGAAATATCACGCCAGTTCCCATTCCAAAAACCCTTCTTCCTCGGAAGGCAACATAGAACCATGGTGCCAAAAGTGTGGCAAGAAGTTTCGACCGTAATTGGAATGGACCCAGGAAGTACTTCTCACCTGCAAACAGCGACCACTGCATTGTCAATTCAAGCAGCATTGCCCATGTAGGAACATTGCCAATCCCTTATTGTTGGTTAGTGGAAAGTATGAAGGAATAGGGTATTACCATAATTGCTATTACTATGATTCTCTATCATTCCCTCCTATCCCTACATTGCCAACAGTGCCAAGATTCCTAGCCGTGCCATCTGCCAGGTCGCCTGCCACGTCCCAAGCACAAGAGTGGTTCCTATGGCCACTGCAGCAGATATTTTCCAACCACTCCAAAGCGCTGCCCGATAGGAGCCACCAACCGAAATGATTAGAAACAGATTGCTCCACACTTTCCATGCTCCTTTGTTATAAAAAATGTCATTGGGGGTGGCAGTCAATTCAGCCGGGTAAAAGGCAATGGCTTCTCTTGGCTCACCGTCGCCCTTCACATTGACCGCAGTTTCGCTTTTCGATTTCTCTGGGTCCACCGCTACATCCCCAGCCGATACCTCAGCATCTAGCCCGGCCACAGTGATGCCACCCATTGCTGCCGCCAGTACCTCAACATCGAGCCCCTCCACGGTGATACCAATCATTGATGCACCGACAAGATTTGCCTCTATGCCAACCGCGAGCTGAATCTGAACCAAAAAGCTGTGCATTGGATAATTTGGCACCACGAAAAATTTACATGAAAGAAAGTTTATCTGTTTAACAACCATGCAATATCGTCCGCGTCGTGGAAACCTGACAGTTCTTGAATTCGCCTCGGCTTCCTGCCGAGAAGCGTCTGGAACAAGCAGACCCGGATCGGGCCTCCTTCCCCCTAACCCAACGAATTTTCTGACGCCACCCCCCCCCCCCCCCCCCCCCCCCGCCCTGTGGGACCCCCCAAAATACCACCCAATCGCTTTGGACGAGCCTGCCAAACCACGACGCCCTGTGCGAGGGTCATGCCTATCGGTGGCTCTTCCCTACAGGGAAAGTCCCAAAAAACCACCCCCCCCCCCCCCCCCCCACCCCCCCCCCCCCCCCACCACCCTCCCACCCCCCCACCACAACCCCCCCCCCTCCCCCACCCAACACCCCCCCCCCCCCCCCCCCCCCCCCCCCCCCTTACCACCCCACCCCCCACCCCCCCCCCCCCCCACCCCCCCACCCCCCCCCCCACCCTCCCCCCACCCCCACCCACCCACACCACACCCCCCCCCCCCCACCCCCCCCCCACCACCCCCCCCGCCCCCCCCCCCCCCCCCCCCCCCCCCCCCCCACCCCCCCCCCCCCCCCCCCCCCCAAACCCCCCCCAACCTCCCCCCCACCCCCCCTTTACCCCTCTGCCCTTCCTCCCTTTTTTTGCGAAACCCTCTTTCCTCCTTTCTGGGGCCGGCCCGGCTGCCGAGGCGGCGCGCGCAAGCGTTTACAATTCTTTTGAGAGAAAAAGTGAACGGTTAACGGTTATGTGGACAGCCATAAGAACAAAACTGTGAGACTAAAGCTCTAGCGCATAATATGCCGAGAACGTGATAAGCACTGCAGTGCTCATCGGACGCAGTCCAGCTTGAAATGCGTGTGCCAGTGCTTAGGTTCCGACATTCGACGGTTAAACAGTTAAACCGCTGGTAGCAAGGCAGTTGGAAGCATTGAGCATGAACAGGCGCAAGGCTTAGGAGTTCTGATGCGCTGCCGAAGCTCGCGCGGAAGCTGCTGCCTCCTGAGGCTTCTGCCGGCTCCACTCCAGGAGGACCAAATTGAGACTTCTGATCATTCCACTTGGACTCCTCATGGCAGCTAAGGGTGGGCTTTAGTCATATGGCGGTTGACCACAAGTCCCACCACACAGACACGCCTCGGGCGCGCTCGAGGGTCTTCTTGTGCTTTTGGTTTGACTCATGTGATGAAAACCGTCGCACAGTCGCAGATGACACCTAGATGAGACAGCCTTCTGGGCAAGCTTCGCAAAGCCGAGCTGGCTAGGTTAGGGTGTGGGGGCCGCCGCGGATTTAAGGTCAAGAGTCAAGATGGTTAAGATGTAAACGTTGTTGGGTGTGCTATAAAAGGCTTACAACAACTAGCCTCTCCAAGGAGTGGAACCTTCAGGAGTTAAGGGTGGGTGACCATTTGCGGTTAAAAAATGTTAGCGTCTCAGCGGGCATGAAACTAGTGTTTTTACACTCAAGCGTTCCAGAGATAAAACAGCCATGGTAACCCAGGTACTCTGCCTTTTCGACAACAATCTAGTTAGATTGAAAAACCCAGGAACCAAGAGCAAACACAGTGGTGATGCGGACCCTGGCCGCTAAAGTGGCAGGATTCTGCTCAGGTCAATGAACCGAACGAACCGGTACAGCCCAGTGTGGGAGACGTCGGTCCCATGCACTGTAGGCCAAGCAGCAAAATCGTCAGGTCGCGGTTCTGGCTCCAGGCTTTTCAACTCAAACTACAAGTAATTAGGAATTTAACTATACGAGTATACTTGTACCTCAAGCCAGAGAGAGTTATACATCCATCAACACTATAAGCCTTACAGCCCGAAACCTCAGAGAACTTCCATAACTGCGGCCCATCGCCCTCCGCCCCGAAGATGAAGGAGACACTTCTGACTGCAGGGAAAACAGTGCCAGACATGCCGGGCACAGTTTAGTCGTGAGGACTGTGGAGGCCGTAGGGTCAGAAGTTTCCGAGCCCTACAGATTTTGGAGGGCTGCAGAGACTCTTTCTACCAACCTTTTTGGGCTAAGGCACACCCAACAAGGCGGAACTCAAAAATGCGAGCGTGGAGCATCAAATGAGGCACGCCCAGCCTTTTTGCCTCAAAAGCCTCCTGCAAGGAGTGCTTGTCCTCCTCCACGCTGGCGTGCCGGGCTCCAACACGGACGAAGTACGGGGATTCGACCTCGCGCTCCCACTCGGCCGCCGCCTGGCCTCAGCAAACAGCAAAACAAAACAAGGAGCACCAACATCAACATCGAAGCATCGCAAGACATATCGCAAGTGACTCGTGTCCGAGGGCAAAGCGGGCAAGGTGAGCAAGGCTCGGCGCGGGCGCAGATGGTGCCACAACGGCCGCTGGCATTGCACAGCGCCTTCTTCTTAAGGTGCGGGGAGCGCTACCCGGGCTGGGCAGGCGAGCGCTGCTTGTGACCTGATCCTGCAAAGCATGAGCCAGCAGAACATTTGTGGCTCGTTTGCAAAACGACGTGCAACGACAATGCCAGCTTGCAAACTTTGCAAGACTCAAGACTCACAGCTGCCCCCAGTCATTGCAACTTTTTATGGCTGCGGCGCACAAGGATGTTGGCCTCGGTCCTGCGCGAAAGTCCTGCCGAGGGAAGCTGCAGGCTGCAACCTTTCATGTCGCACCTTTCGGATCCTTGCTTCGCATGGAGGTCAGGTGCAAGCCCGATGTTCTCCACGCCTGGCACCGGCTTCCCCCCCATCTCATGCCAGGCCACCGTCACAGCTTCTGCAAGCGAATCGCGAGGATGCCCGACTGCCGTGCCCTCTGCTCGAAGCTGGGGATGCGATGGTAGATGTCGACTCCCACATCAACATCAGACACGTCTGCCAGGCAATTGCCGACACCTTCGCCCTCAAGCATCTCTTTGAAGGACCAGTAGACCTGGATGCCCGTGATGCGGCACGGCACACGCTGGTTCTGGTTGATGAACGTCACCATGTCACCCTCACGGTACCGCCGGAACTGACCACTGTTGATGCGCCCCTCCACCGTCTTCTGCCCCCTCCGGATCTGCTCCAAGTACTTCCTCATGATGGGCAGCTCGCCACGATCTTCACCACGCTCGCCTTGCGACAAGCAGCCAGTCAAACCCTCACACTGCATTCGCTTGTTCATTCTTTAGTGTTCATGAAGACCTTCCCCATCCCCAGCGGGTAGAATTTGCAATCGTTGCCGTCTGAGGCAGCAACGCTGGCGCTCGGCATTCCCGCGCCATTCCGCGTCTCGAGGGCGCTTGCGTGGCTCCTCCGCTGGCGCGTCATGCTCCGGGCGGCGCTTGCGGGTGGCAATTTCAGCCATGGGGCGCAGTGAGGTGCAGACAGGGCCTGATTGATGAAGATGTCACTCAGACCTGGAGCTTTTGAGCCACTCACACAAGTTTCAGCCTAGCGAGCAGTGCAGCGTGGCAGCAAGTTATAGCTTGCCATGCTAGCCTCAACGAGTCGCCACTCTTTATGTGTAGGACATCTTTGCCATGGGCGATGCTCTCGGTCCTGCGCGAGTCCTGCCGAGGTCCATACAGTGGGTCCGCCTTGCAGCGCCACTTAAAACTTGACCTGCCAGACATGCGTGGCGGTTCAGCCACGACAAGATGCGGCGCAACGTGGATCCAGGGGGATCCTGAATTGGGGGCGTGCATCCTGTACATGGGGACAGCATAGGGATCAATGCCCCCTCTCACGTCTCACGACTCCCAGACCAACAAGGTCTCCACGCTGGCCATCTGCGTGTGCCTCACGGCGGCCCTGCCAGCCTCCTGGAAGCCGCCATGGAGGAGGAAGCCCTTGCTTCCCTTGGCGTGGTCATTGACGGTCACATGCATGCGCTCCAGCCCGAGCTCAGAGCAAGCAGCCTTCGCCTCTGCCAGCAGGAGCTTGCCGTATCCCTTCCCCGAGTCTTTCTCAGGGTCGACTACAAACAAGCTCTTGATCTCCAAGCTGTCATGGACGGCACACATCTTCTCCCAGTCCTCTGTCACGGGGTAGTTCTTGAACACAAGGACACCCACGGTGCGGCCCCCGTGCTTCAGCAAGCGGGCCTCCCTGTCTCCATCTTGGAAGATCTGATGCAGAGCCTTCCTCTGGTCGCCGTAGATCGGCTGGATCACCCGCTCAAAAGCCTCCCGCAAGGAGCGCTTGTCCTCCTCCACGCTGGCGTGCCGGGCTCCAACGCGGACGAAGTACGGGGATTCGACCTCGCGCTCCCACTCGGCCGCCGCCTGGCCTCAGCAAACAGCAAAACAAAACAAGGAGCACCAACATCAACATCGAAGCATCACAAGACATATCGCAAGTGACTCGTGTCCGAGGGCAAAGCGGGCAAGGTGAGCAAGGCTCGGCGCGGGCGCAGATGGTGCCACAACGGCCGCTGGCATTGCACGGCGCCTTCTTCTTAAGGTGCGGGGAGCGCTACCCGGGCTGGGCAGGCGAGCGCTGCTTGTGACCTGATCCACGATGCAGTCGACACCACAGGATGAAGTGGTCAGAATGCATGCATGCACGCCAGTTTGCCTCCAGACATCTGACTGGAAAAAACAATCGTCATCAGCCAGCGTTCTTTGACAATGTCTGCCATGCTCGGCTCTTGCCAAGAGTCCTGCCGATTCGCGTTCATGCAATGACTGGCGAATTAGGTTGGTGCAGCCGGAAATCTTTTTGGGCTGTGCACGCTGAAAACTGGGACGGTCGAAGCTGTGCTGAGGTAGTAGCACGAACCATTGGACCTGTTAGCCTGTTAGCGATCTCATCACCGGCTTGGCTCAATGCTGATCTCGATGAGAAACTCTGGGTAGATCTGCTGCCCGTTGAACACGACGACCTCTCGATGCACCTGCCCCTGGCCAGACGTGCCAGGAAAAGGCTCGACCACACAAGAGTCATGTCTCAACTGTCTCGCGCCCTGAACTGGTGGAGGTCGTGTGACTCCCCTCATGTCACTATTGGGGCCGAGCCGGTACACGGAACCCAAGGTGACGCGGCAAAGGAGGAGGAAGCGTGAGGATGGCTTGCAGCCGCAGTGGAACTGCTTGCAACGCTTCTGGAAAATGGAGCAGCCTGGTGCTCGGGCATATTGCCGGGCTTTGCACACTTGATTTGTGAAATAACAGCCGGCTCCGAACTTGCCCTGCATGCTGGCACGCCTGGCATCGAAGCCTTCTCGCTGGATCGATTCAACCTTGAGGGCATCACTGCCATGCCAGAGCCAGGCCTCATTCAGGTCATCCGATGCCAGGTTGGAGACGTTTGCGACTTGGGAGCTGGGAGGTGTGTGGCGAGTGTCTTGGTGGTCTTGCCGCATCTGCTTCCGGCAGTCCTGGTAGGCCCTCCACAATTCCGGGTGCTCCAAGCGCCACATTCCCTTGACGTTGAAGTGATGGGGCCCTTCCGCTCCATAACAGGGAAACTTGCACACAAGGCAATAGTCCCTTAGGGCTTCCTCAACACAAGAAGGCACCTCCACGGGGTGGCTCTGAGGCACGTCTGTCAAGAGAAGGTCGTACCAGTAGGATGGCGGCGCGCCAGGCTTTGACTGCTTGCAGATCATTTCAGCAGTTGGCCGACAGTCTGCCTCGGCACATGTCATTCGCTTCGCCATCTCGATGGCGCGCTTGTCCAAAGCTTTATGCCTGTCACTCAGCACGAGCCAAACCGCACCAAGAGCGAAGATGTCTGCCTCCATGGCCTCGCTGGCGATCCCAAGCTTCGACCCGAGCTCTGGGGCCTTGCAGCAGTCGGGACGGAGGATCACCTTGGAGAAGTCCAAAACAAGCCTGGCAGATCCATCGCCTGTAACTGCAAAGCAGCCAGGCCCGATGTTGCCGTGGATGATGCCGCATGCATGCAGGCGCTCGAGACCTGCTGCTGAGGTAGCAACGATCTTCTTCCCCCACTGGCAGATGAATTCTGAGGGTCGCTCTGCCAAGGAGTCGCCGTAGAAGGGTAGCTCAAGGTAGAATGTGGCGTTTGCACCAAAGAATCCGCAGGAAACCTCTGCCAAGTTGGGGTGCTTGAACCTCGGAACTGCTTTCGTCTTTTTACTGCAAGTCATGAAGAGAAGGGCACAGAACACAAAGACTGTCGCATGTAGCAACTGCCAAGCTGGGGCTTCCTGCTTGCGCATGGCACTGACCTCCCGCAAGATGAAGGGCGCTTCTGTCTCGATGTTGAAGCGCTTGAGCAGCACAGCTCGGCCGTCAAACGTTGATCGCATGAAGCCACCAGGCCTGAACCAAGCTGAAAACTGCTCGCTGACTCTCTCTCTCTCTCTCTCTCTCTCTCTCTCTCTCTCTCTCTCTCTTTCTTTCTTTCTTTCTTTCTTGGGGGCATGGGGTCAAGCCCCCTGGCGTCGCGCCAGCCCGGTATTCGGGACCCTCCGAGTTGCCCGGAGAAAAGCGTGTCGTATGAGCACGGCGCTTTTATCCCCCCTTCCCCCCTCTATCCTATCTAACCCACCAGAAGACTCTATCTCTCTCTCTCTCTCTCTCTCTCTCTCTCTCTCTCTCTCTCTCTCTCTCTCTCTCTCTCTCTCTCTCGCTCCTTCTTCAGCTTCTTCTGTTTCACTCTCACTTGGAGCAAAGCGGGTGCAACCGGTGGTTCATACAGCTCTGTTAAGCTCGTTTTCGTCTGCCCTGGGCGCCTGGAACTCTCGGTCACGGCGCCGTAGTCTTGCAACGTGCGATTCGAAGCCAAGATGCCAGGCAGTTCGGCCTCGACATTGAACTGAAGGTTGACCAAGCTGGGAATCATCTTGGGCTGCAACATGTGGCTGAGTTCAGGGAAGCGCAATTGCAGGTTAATCGCCTTGGTGCGAAGGGCCAGGATTCTTACATCATCTTCCTGGAGCCGCTTTCTTGCAAAGGTCATCTCTGCCGGCTCTGCCTCCGATTTGCTTTGCATACCCTGATCAGGCAGCGCAGCCTCAGCCTCTTCACGCAGCTCTGTCTTGCAGAGCATCGCACGGGCTTCCTGATACCGTCGCATGGCAGCCTCCCACTCGGCGCAGAACTGCTCTGCGTGCACCTTGTCCAGCTCTTGCAAGTGCCGGATCTTGCGCTGCAAGTTCCCTTTCAACATGTTCAGCTCCTCTTTCAGGAGCGGACGCAGGAGTCCATCCTTCTCACGCCCCTTCTCGAAGCTCGACGATGTCTCCATCCAGGCCTCAGCACGGCAGCTCAAAGCAGCTCACGGAAGCATGCAACAGAAAAAACCCATGTCCTCACGCAAGTCGTACTGCCACTTTTCTCAGGAGGAGGGTTGTCAGGCGCCACAGCTCAGTGACACGAGTTGGGATCGGTTTTCAAGCATGCTCACGTTTAAGGGCTCGGCATTGAGGCATGCAAGGGCCCTGATTCGAGCAGCCTCTCGGTCATCGACCCTTGATGGAGATGGAGATTCCGATGGAAATCCCACGGAAACGCGGAGGTCAAGGCACGCTTGATCCAGGTCAGCAATTGCTTTGTCCGCAGAGATCAGGGCCAGCTGCATCCTCTCGAGGTCTTGTCCGGCAGTGAGGGCTTTACGACGGGCCATGCGCCGCTCAGACGGGGAGGCCTTCCAACAAGCCAAATCACTGAACATCTCGATCGCTGAGCGCCGCAGATCTGGCATTTGCTGGCAAAGATTCAGAAGCCAGAGCCTCGCCGGGCCCAACGAACCCCAAGCCATCGTCTTCCACCTTGCGGCAGCTGCGTCATTCTCCACCTGTTCACGTCGGCGTGGACGCTGACTGGCTCGGTTCTCAGGCGGGGGGGTGTAGACGTGGGGCACATCATTCAACACCATGATTTGCTGCAAGGCTTTCCATCCAACTTGAGGATCCAACTCCAGGCCATGTCCAAGCTGCTTGGGGAGATCTCTGACAGCCCTGGGGTTCACGAGGCACTGCTTCAGCCAGTCGACTCGGAAGTTCAAGGTTGATCGTCCTGAGGGCAGCCCAGAACGACTTCTCTCAGTGCTGTAGCCATCACCAAGGACATGCCCGCAGCAGGCGTTTACAATGAACTGCTACAAATATTTTAGTGTTCTAGGGGTGAGGGGAAGACGCTCGAAAGCCCGACAGCTTGTTTCTTCGACTTGCGCCTTCCACATGCTTCGGCCAGAGCCTGGAGGTGCCGTGCTCCTCGTCCGGAAGGCTGGCCATGCGACCGACGAGCCGGAAATCCCCGCACAGCACGAACAAGAAGATGTGCTCAGTCTGCCTGAAGGCCTTGGCAAGGGCCTCGTTCGTCCTGTTGGAAGACGTCCAGATCCCATAGTGCCTCCCGAAGCCCGAGGCTGCAAATGCAACGTTGTCCAGGTGCTCCTTGTTCGTGCACAGAATGAAAAACCGGGAGTTGCCGCTGGAGGGCGGCTTAGTTCCTCGAACCCGCAGTGCTTGCGTGTGCCAGGGCCCCGTTCTCTCAGCCAACCGGGCCGAGTGGGCGGAGTGGGCCGAGGGTGAGCGGGCAGAGGGCAACCGGGATCCCTGGGTTAGCGAGGGCCCCCAAGCCTGCGAATGAGCGGGGGGCTTGGCTGGAGAGGCCTGGGCCGCGCAGCTCTGCGCTCGGCGCGCCCCCAGCGCAGGCCATTCATCCGACAGTCCGAGCATCGTGGGCATTGTAGTCCAAATCCCAATCTACGGTTCCAGGGTTCCGCGCTTCCCACAGCACAGCGACCAGTCCTTTTGAAAAAGCACAGCAGCGGAAACACACATGGCAACAACTGTACATGCTGCAGCATTCGTTTGAGAAGACGCGAAGCATGCAGAGACAGCGCCTGTATCTTTTCGACATTGCAACAGGATCTTTGCCCTCGGTCCTGCTTAAATGTCCTGCCGAGAAGGCTGACCTGTAGATTCAAGCCAGTGGATTCATCCCAAGAGTGTTCAAGTCATTCTCCCGATCCGCTGCAAGCGGATCGCGAGGACGCCCGACTGCCGCGCCCTCTGCTCGAAGCTGGGGATGCGATGGTAGATGTCGACTCCCACGTCAACGTCAGACACGTCTGCCAGGCAATTGCCGACACCTTCGCCCTCAAGCATCTCTTTGAAGGACCAGTAGACCTGGATGCCCGTGATGCGGCACGGCACACGCTGGTTCTGGTTGATGAACGTCACCATGTCACCCTCACGGTACCGCCGGAACTGACCACTGTTGATGCGCCCCTCCACCGTCTTCTGCCCCCTCCGGATCTGCTCCAAGTACTTCCTCATGATGGGCAGCTCGCCACGATCTTCACCACGCTCGCCTTGCGACAAGCAGCCAGTCAAACCCTCACACTGCATTCGCTTGTTCATTCTTTAGTGTTCATGAAGACCTTCCCCATCCCCAGCGGGTAGAATTTCCAATTGTTGCCGTCTGAGGCAGCAACGCTGGCGCTCGGCATTCCCGCGCCATTCCGCGTCTCGGGGGCGCTTGCGTGGCTCCTCCGCTGGCGCGTCATGCTCCGGGCGGCGCTTGCGGGTGGCAATTTCAGCCATGGGGCCCGCGCAGTGAGGCGCAGACAGGGCCTGATTGATGAAGATGTCACTCAGACCTGGAGCTTTTGAGCCACTCACACAAGTTTCAGCCTAGCGAGCAGTGCAGCGTGGCAGCAAGTTATAGCTTGCCATGCTAGCCTCAACGAGTCGCCACTCTTTATGTGTAGGACATCTTTGCCATGGGCGATGCTCTCGGTCCTGCGCGAGTCCTGCCGAGGTCCATACAGTGGGTCCGCCTTGCAGCGCCACTTAAAACTTGACCTGCCAGACATGCGTGGCGGTTCAGCCACGACAAGATGCGGCGCAACGTGGATCCAGGGGGATCCTGAATTGGGGGCGTGCATCCTGTACATGGGGACAGCATAGGGATCAATGCCCCCTCTCACGTCTCACGACTCCCAGACCAACAAGGTCTCCACGCTGGCCATCTGCGTGTGCCTCACGGCGGCCCTGCCAGCCTCCTGGAAGCCGCCATGGAGGAGGAAGCCCTTGCTTCCCTTGGCGTGGTCATTGACGGTCACATGCATGCGCTCCAGCCCGAGCTCAGAGCAAGCAGCCTTCGCCTCTGCCAGCAGGAGCTTGCCGTATCCCTTCCCCGAGTCTTTCTCAGGGTCGACTACAAACAAGCTCTTGATCTCCAAGCTGTCATGGACGGCACACATCTTCTCCCAGTCCTCTGTCACGGGGTAGTTCTTGAACACAAGGACACCCACGCTGCGGCCCCCGTGCTTCAGCAAGCGGGCCTCCCTGTCTCCATCTTGGAAGATCTGATGCAGAGCCTTCCTCTGGTCGCCGTAGATCGGCTGGATCACCCGCTCAAAAGCCTCCCGCAAGGAGCGCTTGTCCTCCTCCACGCTGGCGTGCCGGGCTCCAACGCGGACGAAGTACGGGGATTCGACCTCGCGCTCCCACTCGGCCGCCGCCTGGCCTCAGCAAACAGCAAAACAAAACAAGGAGCACCAACATCAACATCGAAGCATCACAAGACATATCGCAAGTGACTCGTGTCCGAGGGCAAAGCGGGCAAGGTGAGCAAGGCTCGGCGCGGGCGCAGATGGTGCCACAACGGCCGCTGGCATTGCACGGCGCCTTCTTCTTAAGGTGCGGGGAGCGCTACCCGGGCTGGGCAGGCGAGCGCTGCTTGTGACCTGATCCTGCAAAGCATGAGCCAGCAGAACATTTGTGGCTCGTTTGCAAAACGACGTGCAACGACAATGCCAGCTTGCAAACTTTGCAAGACTCAAGACTCACAGCTGCCCCCAGTCATTGCAACTTTTTATGGCTGCGGTGCACAAGGATGTTGGCCTCGGTCCTGCGCGAAAGTCCTGCCGAGGGAAGCTGCAGGCTGCAACCTTTCATGTCGCACCTTTCGGATCCTTGCTTCGCATGGAGGTCAGGTGCAAGCCCGATGTTCTCCGCGCCTGGCACCGGCTTCCCCCCCATCTCATGCCAGGCCACGGTCACATCTTCTGCAAGCGGATCGCGAGGACGCCCGACTGCCGTGCCCTCTGCTCGAAGCTGGGGATGCGATGGTAGATGTCGACTCCCACGTCAACGTCAGACACGTCTGCCAGGCAATTGCCGACACCTTCGCCCTCGAGCATCTCTTTGAAGGACCAGTAGACCTGGATGCCCGTGATGCGGCACGGCACACGCTGGTTCTGGTTGATGAACGTCACCATGTCACCCTCACGGTACCGCCGGAACTGACCACTGTTGATGCGCCCCTCCACCGTCTTCTGCCCCCTCCGGATCTGCTCCAAGTACTTCCTCATGATGGGCAGCTCGCCACGATCTTCACCACGCTCGCCTTGCGACAAGCAGCCAGTCAAACCCTCACACTGCATTCGCTTGTTCATTCTTTAGTGTTCATGAAGACCTTCCCCATCCCCAGCGGGTAGAATTTCCAATTGTTGCCGTCTGAGGCAGCAACGCTGGCGCTCGGCATTCCCGCGCCATTCCGCGTCTCGGGGGCGCTTGCGTGGCTCCTCCGCTGGCGCGTCATGCTCCGGGCGGCGCTTGCGGGTGGCAACTTCAGGCATCTTGCACGAGCAGATGCGTTCGGCACAATCTACCTCGACTCAAGTTTGGACGCTCTGAGCCTCTCAAAAGGCCGGGATTGATTTCAACGGTTGAAACAGATGGAGCCAGCTGTGAACCAGCTGTGAACCGCTCTCAATCAAGGCGGAGCTTCGGGGCCTTTTTGTGGCGCATCTGTCATTGACTCTCGGTCCTGCCTCTGAGTCCTGCCGAGGTCTAAACGACATTCCATGCAACTAACGTTGCCAAGCGCAGCATACCTGCCAATGACGAACAAGTTGGCTTCGCCCAAGAAGATCCCTCAATTGCTCAGCAGCAGTCTCGCAACTTTCAAAGCGATGTCCTCTTCGGACTTGCCGAGGCAATCCAAATAGGCTACGGACGGTTTCAGTACCTTGTCAATGAGTGCCTTGGCAGGATCGCCTGGAGGTGTTGGAGGATAAGGGCTTTCCATTTTCAGCGGGACAACCTTGACCCCATGAGAGTCCGCATAACTAAGTTCATCAAACGTCGAGAACTTGGATTCGGTCTTCTCACCATACCGCCGTGTGCACACCGCAAGAATGACCCCTCCGCCGTTCTTGATCTCATAGAGGTACTCCCTGACCATCTCACCAAAATCGTCTCCATATCCGGCCTCGACAAACCGCACCTTGTAGTTGTATGAAGACAAGAGTCTGTAGATGCTTTTGGCCATTTGGAAAGCAGGGCTGTTGTCGAAGCGCAGGCTGAAAAAGGCTGGTCGGGCAGTTGATCCGTCCGGGATGCTTGTGGAAGCCTGCGACATGATGTCAGAAACTCATGATGAGGAGCCCCTCAAAGGTCATACATACCCTTGGGGACCCCAGCTATAGTCCACGTGACAAGCACAATGAGAACAGCCCTGTGGCTTACATGTTCCACCTGCACCATGTCAAAAGTACCAGAGCTTGGCGTCGAATACCCGGTTTTGGTGGCAACTACAAGGTCTACGGGCCACAGTTGGCCGTGTTGGTTCGTGCACGGTTCAATGTCTAGAAGGAGTGCGTCTAAACTCACGACAGCCAGTGTTTTCACATATTTGGAGGATTTGAGGACGTAACTCGTGACCCAAAAACCACGGATAAAACTACTTGGAAATTACAAACACCCAAACCTTGGAACAACACAGTGATGAGGCGCATCGTTTCTTTCAGCAGGTCGCTGAACTCAGTCGCAAAACGCTGTAGATACCAGTGTTTTGGGCATGGTTGCCAAGGGCATGGAGGCTTGTGACAAAGCGTCTTGTTCCACATCCTTGCACAAGTACAGTATGTTGTACAAAGAAGACAAAACGCTGCAAATACCATGTTCTGGGCATGGTCGCCAAAGACATGGACGCTTGTGACAACGTGTCTTGTTCCACATCCTTGCACAGTATGCTGTACAAAGAGGCCAAAACGCTGTAAATACTGTGCTCGGGACATGGTCACCAAAGGCATGGACGCTTTTGACAACGTGTCTTCTTTCACATCTTTGCGCAGTATGCACAAATGACAAAGAGGCCAAAACGCAGTAAATGCCAGTGACTTTGGCGACTGGGGCATGGACGCAACATGAATGACGTTCCCCACTCCTTCCCCGCCCCCAAAACACCGCGGCCAACTGTGGTACGCCACAAGAAAGCGGCATGTCAACGAGCGATGGCACCCTTCTTGGACAATCGTGCGGTTGCATGCCCCGGATGAGCAAGATCTGGGGGCCTGAGCGCTGATCTTGACGATCGTACTTGTTTCCTTGCCACGCACCTTCCGGATGAATGGCCGCGAGCTAGACAGCTCAGTTGGGGCCTTGACCTTGACAGCGAACACTCTGCCGAGCAGCTTGAATATGCAGACATGATTGGCTGGCTTGTCATTCATGAGGTTTTGCATTCTCAGTGGCGCGAGCCACGAGATCACGCGTGGAGACTGGCACATCCCCAAGTTGGCCTTCGATACAACTAAGTCGACACAAACCGAAAGTACAGGTCGTGATTGGAACTGCGGCATAAGTCTCGACAACCAGACAAGATGTCGCATGCCGGAAATCCCCTAAATCCCACCTGCAGGCGTGAAAGAAACTGCACGGCCAGATTTCCCACTGTGAGTTCCGACCTCCGGCATGCAAAGCTACAAAGACGAACATCGCAGTGCCAACTTGAAGGACTTCCCTACTGGCAGTGCCTCAACGTTGCTTTTGCTGTTTCCGGTGACATACCTGCGATAGTGATTCTGCTGACCATCAACCGCGGCACTAACTAAACTGCCCAGAGACTGCATGCATTCACAAATCAGTGCTGTTGCGTGCACCAGGTACACTTCAGAGACCTGCTTCTCCACTGAATGGTCTAGTCCACGAACGCTGGCATCTACCAAACCTGAGCTGCATCTCTTATGCGGCAAAAGGAGATACCATCTCTGTGCCGGACAGCCGGCCCTGGAAGACGTCTACAACTTGGGAGGAATGATGGGGGCGGGGCACTTGGCAGCGCTTCTGCAACTAAAGAGTGCCAAGGCACAGAACTTGCGAAAGTAGACTTTAGCATCTTCGATCCGGAGCTCGACACTTGGCTGCTGCCCCAACCAAGGCATGGGAGCTACAAGTGGAAAGCGCTCGAAGTTGACGTTGCCGGGCTCTGGGTCTGTATAGTCCGGGCAATCCGGCCACGAGATCTTCAGACTGTCGCCCTGGGCAAACGTTCCGGCAGGAACCGTCCACTGGCAAAGCTTGTAATCTTGCAGCACTTCCTCATCTCTGAAGCAATCGGCCAACATCTGCTTGCATCTGCAACAGCCCGTTTGCGTGATGGCCCATTTGGCCGCCCAGATGTGGTCAAGACCATCATTCATGTAGCAAGATATCTTGATTTGGGCCTTTGGTGGCTCATCGGTTCCCACAAACACCTGACAGAAATGATCCAAGCGAAGGACCACATGGCCAGCCAGAAAGCCGACATCTCGAAGCTCTTCCCAGCCGCCACCTTCCAGAGAACGCCAGGCCTTCGTGGAACCGACGCAAACCGGAAAGATCAGCAACACGGGCTCCTCGAAGCGCACATTGTGAGGGCGGAGCTCGAGGATGGGGCTTAGCACGACGGCCTTCTCGGGCAGACGAAGTGCCTGGTCCCTGTTGAGAATCTCGACCTCCAAGGCGTGTGGATTGAATACGGGCTTTGCTGCGACCAGAAGAACCTCATCATGCAACACTGCGATGTCGCTGGCGCCCAGCTGCACAAGCAGACCTTCCTCAATGTCCAGCACTCGTGAGTCAACGGCATTCTCAGCGTCGGGAAAGGATGCAGCATGACCTGCGCGCGCACACTGCAGTCACTACTACTACGAGAGTTCTTTATAGGTGCACGCCCTGCAGGCTCAACATTCCTCAGCTGCACTGGAATGCACCCCGAGCTGCTTGGCACTGGGAGATCTGACTCACCAACGCCAGCCTCACGTCTCTTGGATCTATTGTTCTTCAATGTGCTACTAGAGGTGAGAGGGGAGAATGATGAAGGAGACAAGCGACCATCTATAGATACAAGTGCGTCAAGCACGGTATCGTTTTCGTAGGGAGTGTTCAGACTTCTTCCAAGTCCAGCATACCCGATCGTATTTGAGCCGGCACAGAGTTCTTCCAATTTCTCTTCCTCAGACCCTAAATTCTGCTAGGCTCCACTACGGTACCACTGACTGCCTCGACGTGGACGGTCTGCGGCTCGACATCCTGCCATACAGAAAACAATGGCTACGGGCAAATGCAAGAAAAGCCAGACCCCCAGCAACCTCGGAGGCGCCAAGCAATCTCCGCGAGGCCGCCTTACGTGTCTCTTCCTCTGGCTCAGGACTTTCCCTCGATCTTGGCAAGAAGCATGAAAACAAATCCAAAATAAGTACAATGAAAATGCAAATACAAAATATAGGCACAAGCGCTTGCATACATATACCTATATATATATATATACGTGCGTGTGTGCCGACGCCCGAAACAGCACAGCAGACGGTCGAAGCAGGATTGGCCTGCTCTGGCTACAGCAAACCGCCCAGAAAGTCGTGATACAACCTTCTGCAACCTCCATAGCTGCCTGCTGGGGCTTGGTAAATCTAGCGTCTGCTATCTGTAATCTACTCACGCCTGTCCTTGGCGAATTCTTCCTCGCCATGAATAAACTTGCAATATTTCCCATGTTGGCAAAAGCCCGTGAGAAAGCGTTCGCAGGCCCTTCTCTTCAGAATCGCCTGGCAGGGTCTTGGAGAACCGTATCTCAACTGTCAAAATGCACCAGGGGAGACTGACAAGCAACACGCGGAAGAGCATGTGCTCCAATTTTCAATCACCACCCGGAAACGGCTCTTCTGGGCCTCTCTGTCCTGCAACAGAAACCACCCCGCGAGACATGTCAGCAATTGGCGCCTTGTATCCGGGTGGCTCCAACTGTTCGTCAAGGCCGTGGGCGTAATTGCAACGATCTCCAAACGCACAACGGCCTTGAAAATGATTCTTGCACAGCTGGGTCTTCCAGTGAGAATCTGCCTACCAAGTCAGGTGCGTCTGACTGAGTTTCAGATGAAACGCTTCTGGAAATGAAAAATGCAGCTGGCCTGCGACCGTCCTGCAGCTCGGTACAGAAACTCCTTGGTCCACACTGCTCTGAGTTGGGATGGGCACGATTGCATCGCTAAGGGTAACACCTTCGTGCCATCCGGTGCCGAGGACATCAGGATTGAACTAAACTCGTGGCCTCCCTGGTACGTGAAGCTCAGAGCCTGATACTTTGCCACAAATGAAGTCAATCGACATGAGCGTCAATTGTGCAGCTTGCCGTGCACATCTTTCGTAGCACTGCGTCTCGACCGTGCTATCTTGTGCAACGAGCGCTGCTCCCATGCTTCATTAAGGTGGGCTGACTGAGAGAAGGCAGGGAAAGGGAACGGGGGAGAGTGAGTGAGAGACATAGACACAGAAAGGCAGGGAGGGATACAACGAGACAAGTCACAGTCACATGGCAAGAGGCACCCTAGTTGCGAACGGCCAAAGTGTCGCAGCTGCAGCAGGTCGTGGCTCAGAAGGGGTTCAGGTCGTGGCACAGAAGGGTTTGGGATGTCCTTTTGCGAATGCGTGCAGGTGACCGCGATGTATTTTTTTGCATGCTCTCGTGTAGATCAAAGGTCCTAACTACGCCTAGGGCCCAGCACAGTTGACGTGCGGGCTACTTCAGCCTCATGCGCTTCTCCCAGGCTTCAAGGTAGCGGCGTACTTCTGACCTTGGTAAGGAGGGCGGCTAAGTTGCCAACAAAGGTTTGTTAAAACTCCTGCAGAGCCTCGGCTTTCCAACAATCAACTTCGGCCCAGTTGTCATGGCCCTCGCTTTTGGTTTCTCGCTGTGGCGGAGCCGGTCTCGATTTCCCCTCGAGACACCATTCCAAAGCAGCACTGGTTTCTGCACCCCTTTGAGAGTTCTCGCGTTCGCTAGGCCTTCAGCAATCTCGTGGCAGCTATTTGAGACCTAAGGACTTTCTAGTTTGGAGTCTGGAGGTTTAAAGCACAGCAAATAGGACTCTCATTGCAATCTGATCTGGGGCAAACAAGATGGGGGCAATCGTGGTCACGGGGGCCTGCAAGTGCGAGCTCTGCGGTTTCCTGTGTCTTTGGACAGTCAGGTCCCCTTGAGCATCGAGTTGACAGCTTGACAGCAAAGCTTCAGAAAACCCAGGGTGCCTCTAGCGACTCTAGCGTCTCTCGGCATCATGTCAAAGCTTTGCCCTATGCTGAGCAGCTCATCACTCTCTGCGCCTTCTGAATTACTTGACCGGGATGGCACGCCGCCTTCCCCCCGTCCAGTAGCAACCTTCTTCTTCGTGACCGGCCAGCTTAAAGCCCTTCATAATCGTCCTGCGCCTCACGCACTTGCTTCAGTGGAGCTTGCGACTGCAAATCCTCAGGCAAACAAGGCTTTCGATCTTCACACCTACGACTAGGCAGGCAAGACTGCACGCTGTGGGCGGATTTATTCTCTACCGTAGCCTTTTGTGATCTTCGTGATCTCATGAGGTGTCTGCATGTGTCATCCACGTTTTGTGGAAATTTCGAATGCTGAGCGAGGCTCTGGAATGTGAATAGAGTTCAGGAATGGCAACCTCGGCTTGGGCAGAGACTGCCGGAATCTTGCCGGAATCTCGCGGTGAACAGCGGCAAGCAGGCAGCACCCAGGTCCAAGGTCATAATCCGTGGGCCAGTGAACCATGAACTCCTGCAACCTGCCTGAGGCTCTATGCCCTACTGCCTGTTAGGGCCCTAAACCTGCCCTAAATATGCGGACCGCTTTGGTGGAATGCCGTGTGGCTCTTCGCCCCGCGGCAACAGCAGGTCCCGCTCCATGGGCGCGGCACGCCGAACTTTCCGTAGGGAGACCTGTTAGGGGAAAGAGTGGCCATCAGAGTTCGGGTCGGGTCCATGGTGCGGGGTGTTCGGGTTGAGTGTTCAGGTTTTGGCATTGCATTGAAGGGAGAAGAAGTCGGGAATTGATGGCGGAAACTGATATCATAGCAACAGGGGTGAACGGGAAATTGCTTGTGAAAAGTGAGTGTCTTCGCAGTAGCTTCCAGATCAAGAAGGCCGGGATGCAACACCATTCCTAGTTAACGAGGTTACGGGGCACAAGAAACCACAAACGATAAATCAATCGAAACACTGGAAAGGGTGGAGGGGTTCCGTCTCTCTTTTTTGGGGCATCCCCGAGTTTAACCCCCACCAACACTCAGAACCGACATAACAGGGGCTCGAGGGAATTGCAGGTGATGAGGACATCGTGCTGCTTGGCGGGCTTTCTGGACTGCAAGATAGCAAGGGTTCGCCCCTAACTCTCCCTGCGTCCCCATGAAGCCCTTGCAACGAAGGCCTGTTTCCAGTTCTGGCCATTGCAGCTGCGACAGCAAGAAGGCAGCTGACGATCCAGCACTGCCTCTATGCAATTCCCGACTGTGCTTCCCATGGGGTCAGGTGAGCATCAAGAAGCCCTTGGCAACTGCAACCATGCTCATCTGTCGGTCAAAGGCCTAGCTGCAGGTACCCTGAATCCTGCACCCAGCATATATACGCCGCTATGCCTAAACTGCAGGAGATCTAGTTTGTATGACAAAAACCAGTGACTACCTGGGACCTGTTTCGCCCATCCTTGCACGCTCACAGGCCTCGCTGTGGCGACAGTGGCCGCACTCCCAGCGAGTCTTCGTCGCCTCCTGGATGATGTGAAAATGATGAAACGAGTTGCCTTTCGGGGGGGGCCCTGGCACCTTTGAACCTCAAAAATCCTCTCGAGGTCTAGGCATGCACATTCAGCTTTCAGAGTTGGGTGGCTCCGGTGCTCCGACGCTTCTGCACATAGACAAGTCATCCTTCAATGCTGAGATCCAGTCAAAAATATGGGAAAAGGTACAACGAAGCTGTCAGAAAGAACTTTGGCTGAAAGTCTTGCATTGGATCTCACTTCAAGGAAGGCATGGGCTCCAGAGACGCTTTAGCTCTTCACCTCCTTTTGGTAAAGAACATCTGCTGGTGGTTGCTTGGTTGCTTGACTTGCATGTGTGAGGCAAAAGCCAGATCGCATCCTTCTCCACGACCTTGTGCCCCTTCTCCTGGTCACACAGAAATGAGCTTCAAGCTCTCAACCTTTCAGGCCCTCTAATATAAACTCAACCTGAAGCAGCACAAGCGCGAAAGCTCTTCTGTGCCTGGCAGCTTTTCAGCTGCTCAGGAGACTCAAAAGTGGAGAAGCAGTTCCTTACTTCAAGGCACGGACAAGTTGCTTGTCAGGGGGTTTCTTTGGCTTCAGGCAAGCAGTTTCACATTGACACACACCACCTAATCTGTTCAATGTCGTGCTGTCTGTCCTCTAGAGATCAGCCCTGTCGGGTGGCTTCCCAAAGCACGGTCGGAGAGACCAGGGTTGGGGGAGCCCGGCTCCCGACCGATGCTGAGAGGCTGAGAGTTTGCCGCGGCTCGCAGCGCCCGCGTTCGGACTTTGGTGTTCTTTTCTCAACACATCTCAACATCCCGTATCGCGGGAGGGGAAAGTAGGTTCGAGAGAGAGAGAAGGCTCAGTCTTCTTGTTGAATCCCCTCCAAACCCTAGGGTGTGAAGATGTGTGAGGTGTGGGATGCATCATGCTTGAAGGGAAGCTCGCACTAGGTCACTAGGTGTGAAAACTTGGGCTTGACACGAAGTGATTGCTTGCATAGGCTCATGGGCTGTGAAGCGTCGTGGCGCTATTGTCAGCTCGGGCTTGTGTACGAAAACCACTCTTCTCTGCAGATCTGTGGGGAGAAGCTGGGTCCGAGTGAAGATTGTGGGAATTCCGAAGGAAGGAATTGATTTGGGCATGTGTCGATTCACATGCAAAGTTCCACACGCTTCGACTTCCCCACGACTAAGATGGTGAGGCTTCGCAAGAACAGTGGTCCGTGTGGATCCGTGCTATGGGTCCGAAGCAAGCGTGACATGACAGTGCTGCTGTGCCTGCGGGCACTTCTCTATCGCTCTCACTGGCTTGTGTAATACCGGTTTCGGCGGTGGTGCTGCCCAAGAGTCGCGCATTTCCAGGCATGGACCTGCGAGGAGGAGAAAGCTGCAGACACTGCAGCTGCAGAAACGCAAGCCCGACACCATGAGTAGTTCATTTTTCGGTCACGTAGCCATCTGTGGGCTCACCCAAACAACGGCAAAGGTAGGCCTTCATGCTCTTCATTTCTTCCATCTTCTCTTGCGCAGCATCCATTGCCTGTGCAGTCGTGGCGGGGGCCGCAGGTTTCACCCACTGAGCCCGGTCCTACGGCAGCCCTCAACGGGGAAGTGCCCTTTTGAGATCTCAGCACACGAACCAGACCGTGAGTACCTGCGTTTGCGCGACTCCAGTTTGCAGCTTGTCTCTACATTTGGGCCAGTTGCCTCCAGCTCATGCAAACGTCGCATGCGCTTGGCGGCTCGCTCCTCTTCCATGGCCTCGGCTGTGACAGTGTTCCAATCTCAGAGGGGCCCCGAACAACCGTCTTGGGGAACTCCATGCCGTGGGCCCAAGTTGCCAAGTCCGAGTCGCACTCTGGAATCGGGACGTCTGGTGTCGGACCACGTCGAGTCGAGGATCTGCCTTGAATGCCTAAGCTGGTTTTGGTCTCCATGCCGCGCTCTCACTCTTGCACAAGGCAAGGTAGGTCAAGGCGTAGAGTTTCGGAGGGGAGCTTCAGCAAAGAAAGGAACCAAACATGCAGCATCCACAAAGCGCCAGTCTAGTCAAAGGCCAGGCCAGGTCCTAATTATTTCGGACTTCGCACGCTGCGATTCAGGATTTGACGGCACAGCATCGCGCTCAGCCCAAGATTCACGTCTACATCCACAAGCGGTGCAGCCACACAAAGCCATCCTTCCTAAGGTCACCTTGGACACCCTTTAAACGTTGTTCGAATTCACCGAAACCCCACGTTCCGGGCCCGGGACCCTTACGCTGCATGCTATGACATAGCGCCTTTTCTATCGGGCACTGCCTGTTTCACCCTCCTTCGCGGTGGAAAGGAGTGCAAACAAACACTCAATCCCTCCGGCAGGCTCCTGTGCTTAGAGACATGCTATGTGAGATTTGTAGGTCTTCCCTAGGCTTGCAGTTGGGGTGGTGGGGATGTGTTTTGCGATGCGGGGTGGCCGATGCGGCTCTCACATCCATATCCTAAACCATGTCAGCAAGTAAGCGCCTGGACTCAGACTCAGCATTTCAGCCACCACATTGCGCATGCAGCATCGACACTGAGGAGCGGAACATCGAACGACCGTACAAATTCAAACACGGTGCCGCAGCATGCGGGAGTCAACTGGTGAGTTCAGGGCAACCCTCAGACTCAACCCTCCAAGACCTGACCCCTAGAATGCCCTAGAATGCCCTACAACCTGCAAGGGCACTGGCCAAGATGGGGCTTTCCCAAGGCTTACCATCACTGGCATGTCCTTCTGCAGCAAAACCGGAGGGGCGTTAAAGTTCGGACCTGCGGCCCTTAAAACAATACCGGGGCTTGTGGGCGCCGTAAAGCACTTTTTGAACTTGCCAAAGGAAGGCTTTGGCGCTGTGTTCTGATGGTCTTGTCGTCCACAAACCTTCATCTTGGACACCCCTTCAGGGAGCCAAGAAGAAACTTTCAAACTCTACCGGTCTCCAGGCTAAAAACATGACTCGGGCGTCGTGTCAACGTAACGGTTCGAGTCATGAGACTGGAAGTTGAAGAGAAGCCACACCTTGGGGTACAAGGATCCTCCACTAAACCCCTTCTCCACTGAAAAATGCTCCTTGCTCATGGCTCCAAGTTTTCGGTTTCCATGGTCCAATGTGACCAAGTCTCCTTGAGGCTGGAAAGCTGCTCAGCTGATCACGCTGCTGCTGCTGTTCCTGTGCCTGGTGCTGTTTCTGGACACGGGAAGAACAAGTCTGAGGGCAGAGTGGGTGTCGAAAGGAGCTAAATTCAAGGATGAGACCCGAATCCAGCAGCTTTAAGTGAGGAGAGATTACACAAAGCATACCTTCTTACGAGCCCCAGAGTCGGATTTTCAACATGTGTCTGGAACCTTGACACTGATGATGCTGCGTGGAATCGCATGCGATAGCAACTGTATGTTGACCTGAAGCCGAGGGCGCTCTGACTTCAGGTTCCCCCTGCCTGAAGTGAGGCACCACCGTGTCATAGAGGATGCCGCACATGCCACAAACCCGGACCTGATTCAGCTCGTGCTCGCGACAAAAGCTCCCATGGCGACGCCGATACGAACAGTGAGGAGCCAACGCAGCTAGAGGATGAGGACGCTTTACGTAGTCATCCACTTAATGCAGCTGAGTTGCAGCAGATGGGCCCCCAACGCAGCCGGTGCCCAGCTCGGGCTGGCTGTCGACGCCGCACCAGTTTTCCTGGCTCGGTGCCAAGAAACGAAGGCAGCCTTTTGAGGGTTTGGAGGACTTCAAAGCCTCCTCCTTGTCATCCCTCAGCAGCCGGATCTTACCTGACCAGCAGAGCTCTCGAAGCTTGCTCAACAAGGCCTTGCTCCGTTGTGTAGGCTTTGATTTTGATGTTTACAAAGTTTACCACTTTAACTCCGAGAGGGATCAGAGGCCATCGTCCCTCTCGGCGAGCACTCATACAGCCATGCTCCGAACTAAGCACCAGCACCTTAGACAAATGATGTCAGCACGCATCGCTTGCCCATGTCTACTCCGGTTCCCGAAGGAACTCTCCTTTCCGGCGCACCTTCTTCCCCGAAGTTCTGGCCCCAGGAATTCAGAATCGTCCAGTACCTGGACGTGCTTGTTGGGGCTTCAGAGCCGTAAAAGGCCGTCTTCGAGCCTGTGGCAGCCTACTCTTTATACCAGCACAATGTGAAAGTGTAAAAAAAAAACAAGCTGCGTTCAGCCACAGATCACCTTTCAATATCTCGCTCTGGGCTTCTGACTCGCTGCTCGTGACTAGTGACTGCTCTCCTGATCTTCAAGGCTGGGCACTTCTTTCCCACCTGCTGATCTCGTCCATAGCCGACAAGGACCACTGCATGATCGATGATGGCATTCTTGTCGCAATAATCAAAGATACCATTCCTCGGGAACAGCAGGCCGCAAGGGTGGAGAATTTGCCGTGGTTTTTCTGTCCATGAAGCATGCGATCCTTTAGAAATCTTTTCGAGGCGAGTCGAGGCTGGGCAGCGGCAGACCGCAGGGTGAAACACCACAGGAGAGCCCCCAAAAAGAGGCAGCTTAAGCATAGGGAAGAATCTTGCTGCTTCTGAGCCCAGCATCATGTAGAGGTCCCAGCTGCTGGCGCTCACGGAAACAGCCACCGGCCCGTGATGGTATAATGCACGCATCAGAGGCAAGTACTCCTCAGCTCCATCATTGTGTGTGGCTGCTGGGCAGCTGCAAGGAACAGGCTTTCCATGGGTGCGAAGACAATGGATGTTGCAGGCACAAGGCTCTCTAAGCCCCCTAAGTGTGCAACCCAACCTTGAAAGCCAAAGCCTGCTCATCATCGGCCGCTCACTGCCACGAAATGCAAGACAGGGCTCGTTCTCTGGAAGCTTCTCCCATCCGCGAATCCCAAGGCTCATGAAGCCTTGAGAATCTCCCTGGCATGCTGCTTTCGTTGTGCTGTGTTCGCTCTCGGCTTCGCTTTTCAAGGAGAATGCTGTGTAGGCATCTATGCTCCTGTCTTGCAGCTGAAGAGGCGTGGCAGGTTTAGTCACAAAAGGCAGGCTGGTTTGTGCAAGGTGTTGCAAATACAGTGTGGAACACCACACGGGTGAGCCTGTCTTCTTGCGGGTTATGGAAAAACCGACACCTTGGATCACCTTCGAGCCCTCAAAGCTGAACTGCTTGCAAAGCTCTGCAGTTGTAGTCATCGTGTGTGCTGATTGGCCTCGGCCCGGCGCAGTCCGGCGTCCGCCAAGTCATCCTCGCAGTTCTTGCGCTGTTGGATAACTTAGCCCAGGCGAAGGGACAGACTTTCCAGCTGGTGTTTCCAGTGAACCCTAAAGGTTCAAGCTGCACAGCACTTCAGCATCTCGTGCAAATGCTGACTGGGTTGTGTCCTGATCTGACAGCTGCAGCGTCGAGACTGCTCCGGTGTGGCAGTCCTCATAAGAGCTGGGGCAGTTTCTATGCAAGTGGCAGTGCTTACGGCTTGGTCAAATGCGGCAGCCGCGAATGAGTAGCGGCTTTGCCCACAAGAGTGCCAGTGGGTTGGATAGGCAGCAGAACAGAAGAGGGAACACCATTCCACGCATGCGCTATGTGCTCCAAGCTGGCAGCAATGGTTTTGCCGCAAGCCTTGCTGCTACGACGCACATCGGTATTTACATGCAGGTGTCGCACATATCATTTTCATGTATCGGCACAGTTAGACATCTATAAAATATATATAAACACATTTAAACATGTACATATACGTACAAATACAAGCACGCAGGCAAGCAGACAACCATTATGCACGCGTACACACACACACAGATATATATATATATATATATATATATATATCTGTGTGTGTGTGTGTTCAATGCGTATATACATATATACATACATCTATGCTGTTCTTATCATCTTTACACATACCACATGACATGCGCGCACACAAACAACGCCCCTCCGAAATAGTCCCCTTGGTGTGCGCCTGAGCCTCATCCCCATCTTAGACTCATTGTGTCTCAGAAACAGAGCAACTTTGCTCTCCTCATCGGTTCCTGTGTAGGGCACTTTCTCTTCTGTGGAGAGGCCATGCCTGGTTCAGGGATCGGGTTGGCTTAGGGTCCTTGAAGTTTTGTTGCAAAGGGCTTGCGTGGCACAAGGTGAGGGGCATGGGCCCAGAACAGGACTGCCCTGGGTCAGCCCCCGGCGCCTCATGGTGTACGCCATTGCCAGTTCCACCGTCGCACCCTTGCAGCCACCCGAGCCACCGCAACTCCTTCAAGCGAAAGCAACATTCGGCAAAGAACCCCGGTCTTTGAGATCAAGGTGGTTGGTCATTCTTGTTCTCCCTTTGTTAGGTGAGCTGCGAAGCACACAAGCACAACATGCTCCAGCACATGATTGATTTGCCGTTTCGATCGTTCTTCATTTCATGTACCACAGAAACAAAATATATGTCAATCTCGCTCCTTGGGTTCTGCACGCAGTTCACCAGCTGCTGCGCAGAGAGTGGCTCCGTCTTGCCCTCGTAAATCTCACGATGGGCCTACCGGAGATGCACTGGAGACCGGCGACGTTGCACGGCACACAGATAGAGTCTGCTGAAAACCCAGTTGCCTCCAGAACTGTGGCCGCAGTGACGGCCCAGCAGGAGCCGCAGCCTCCCTGGTCCTCCATTCAAGGAGGCATGCGGTGAGCAGCAAAGATGAACACTGCGAAAGGGTCGCCGTCCAAAGATCTGCAGTGTTCTGTCCGTGCTGTCCCTTTACAATGTGCAAGCGGCGTGTAACCAGGGCTTCGTGCTCAAATCGCTACAAGACGTTGTCGGAGTTCGTGCGGCTGCTATGTTGGGCTTGATATAGCTTCATGCGGAGGGGTGCGCGCCTTGCCCTTCATGATCTGCAGATTGGTCCAGTCCAGAAACCTTAGCTTCACGCCTTGCAGGAAGCCGTGAGATGCCACCGAGCCGCAAAGAGACCTCTTCACTGCCAAACAGTCAACAGCTGAGCCATGCTGAGCCATGCTGAGCCGCTGTTCCGGGAGCTGTGTCGATTGGAGGAGCGAGACGCTGGTCCTCGTGCCACGGCCTTCGAGGTCCCATCTCTGGATCACACGCTTGTGAGAGGTTGTGTAATGTTGTGACTCTTCAGGGGCTTCCCCTCTACACAGGCGCACGCGCACACGACACGCACACACGCACGCACACAAGTAACACATCCTGCATTGGGTGTGGTGGATGTGCGTGGTGTGCATTTAACTTCGACTCACCGTAAGTTGCAGGAACAGAAACAACAATGAGCACGATGAACACTGGACCACTCCTCCCCCGCAAAGCCTGTGCCCGCAGAGCTGAGCCCAAGAAGAATTTTTTCTGAGCCCTCGAAAACCCTCACCCCCCATTGCCCCCATTCTGCTTGGGCACCCATGCCGCGGGTCGGGCTTGCAAAGCCGGCCCATCCCTTCTTCTGGCTGAGCTCCTGGGCAAGCTGCGCGGCAACAAGCCCTGAGCCCTTAGAGCCTTCATGACATAGGGATCTTACGAGGACCTGTGGCATCGTGTTGATGAAAAGAGGGCTTTCGAGAAAAAACCGCATCTGTCATCTTCTTGCGCAGGGTCAGTTGTTGGCCACCAGTGCGTGCTCGAAAGTAGAATGCCGGGTTGGGTGTGGTCAAACTACCATTTTCTCTGAAATGCACTGTCCAATTTCAAACTTCATTGGCTGACCACTTGGCGAGAACAAGTAAATGCTATCTCTATCAAGAAACAAGACTCAGCAAACAATGTCTGCTTCATGAATCGAAGAATGTTGTATGACAAAACACACACACTCACACACATATATATATATATGTATATATATATATGTATATATATATATACATATATATATATATACGTATATATATACATATATATACATATATATATATACATGCTGCACAGTAGATGTGCAACATATATGTATATACAGATATACATTATATACTATATGACGCAATCTTGAATTTTCTTTAGCAAGGAGGTGAGCCGACAACACTACTTGATGGTCAGCTTCGGGCTTACATAGGACCATCAGGCTCAGGACTCAGGCGATGCCCTCATCCCATCAAGGGTACGCTGTGTCTTCTTGCAGTTTGCTTCAATTCTCCCGATTTGCTGCAACAGCTGAACATCGTCGCCAAACCCTTCAGTGCCTCCGGTGTGAGGTCTGCCAACGGACTGACGCCAGCCGTCCACAAGCGGCCAGGCCGAGAATTGATGGCCTGGGAGGGTGCAGGCAAGTGTTTCTGGCCTCTTCTCCTCCCTGCTAGCTGATCCACAGGCTTGTGTGCACAAGAACTGATCTGAACCCCAAACTGCCTCAGCCCTTTCTGCACCCACTGCCGGGTAAGAACCTACATACACACTGCCTCAGCCCTTTTTTCAGCAACCTCGGAACCTCGGCTCTGCTCTTTTGTGTTCCCTGAAGCCCGCAGCATTCCGCCAGGAATCGAAGCCCTCTCCAAGAGAATCCAATCCTTATGGCCGGGCCCTTTACCCTTGAGTGTTGGCCTCAGCTCGGTGGAGGCGATCGCTGAAGATGGTTAGGCGCTTGGAGTACTCGTGTGTGCCTCCCGAAGCACTTATGGCCTTCTCTCCTCGGTGCTCATGACACACAGGACTGCGAGCACTGGGGTGCTCAGGTATGCCTTTGCACCCTGCAGGCCGTGCCTTTCTTGTAGTTCTTGCCGTGCTGATCGATGAAGCTATGGAAAGCTGCGATGTGGTTGCCGGGCACCCGATCCTTCGGGAAGGAAACTTGAAACCTAGAGGGCGGGGTGTGGGTGTCACGCAACGGAAAGACGAGACATGACTCAGAGTGTAGACCTCTGGGTTCGATAGGCCTGTGGAAGAACAGGTTCCAGGTGCCTTTTGGCCTGCAGACGACTACCCCAAGAAGGGGGCCCGCCGTCCTTGACAGACACAGCAACGGCCACGGAGACCAACGCTGCAAAGAACAGCTGCATGGCAAGTTCGCTAACGGAGTGCACGTGGACAGCCCGTGTTGCTCTCTTCTTTTGAGCACCAATGGCTTCGCAAATGCCCCAAACTTGTCCCACAAAACATCTCACTACCGGTGGTTCAGGGACCGAACGACCCTGAACACAGTACGCCCTCCGGTCCGAACGAACTGAGAGGCCCGAGCAAAATGCAAAACTGTGCGCGCCTGACATTCTTTAAGCAGCTCGGCTATGCTAGGACCTAAGTAAGCCGTTTCGTTCCCGAGGTCTCGACGGTCTCGAAATGGTATGTCGAGATGGCAGCTTCGCGCTTTCAATGTTTCAAAGTACATCTTGCTAAAGCTGCTACGGCTCGGACTGGCTATTGGGAATTGTGACGGCGGTCGTGCTTTGCTGTGGTGCCTCTGCTGCTGTTGTATCTCTTGTTCCTGCACTTAAGAAATTGAACTTACAAACCTGCCCAGGTGCGAGCTGCCGGGCGACCTTCCGGCCAAAGTCACCTTTCTTGGGGCGCCTAGCAACTCGGCCTCACACCCTCAATCATCTGAATCTAGAAGACCGACACCCTTGAACACCCCTCTGATCGGAAAACACAAATTCAAACAAACCGCTTGAACAACCCTCAGCTCGGAGAGCAAGATGCAGTTCGTACTTTCTGTGGCAGTGCAGACTTTCTTTGTGGATCCTGCGGGTCTAGAATCTCATAAGCTCACAGTGAAGCGTTAATCTCTCTCTCTCTCTCTCTGCACAAAGGATATGGAGAAAGCTCTCCAGCTGAGTGAAGCCCTTGTCCCCTTGCTACAAACAAGCTGGAAACCTGGACTGAACTGCATTTCAGGGGCTCTCCAACTGGCGAAGGCTTGTGGAAGGCTTGGTGGGCCTGGAGCTGGGGCGGCTTGTGGGGATGGATGCCCTTTGGACTCCACGAAGGAAGAGCCCGTACGACCTGTGCAAAACTCGCGGCCACGTCAAACTGCAGACTTTCCAAACTTTATGCGTGCGGCCCTCTCGAAAACCAACACATACTTGCCCAACTCCTGCGAACTTCGCGGAACACAAAGCTGCAAAACATAGAGGTGTCGGGCCGTGGGGCCTGGGGATCTCTGGCTCAGGCTGCGGGACTCTGGATGTGGGAGACATACCTGCGTTGGCTTTGTCGAGTGAAACTAGGAATCTTCGTGCGAAAGTGTAGAAAACCCATCTTTTCATTCGTTGTGCGTGTTGGGGCCAAACACTTGTGGGGCTTTTGTCAGCTTGTGCAGCTCCACATCTCCGGGCTTTCTTCTGCTCGCTGTGCTATGTTCTCTGCAGCCTCAGACGTAAGTTCTGTGATCTCAACGATTCTCCCATTGCCATTGTGCATTGCATGTACTGCACGACGTGATGCTCTCCTTGACAGCTTCTTCTCCTTCGTCCCGGTTGCAAAGGCTCGGGGGTTTGGGACAGCAAACAAACCGAAGATGCTCTCGCAGCAGTTCTGATGTGGGACGGGGTGGCCGATGGAATCATCCCAAACCGTACGGTGGGTGTCGGCTGTTAAGCCCAGCAAAAGCCTCAAAGCCTTCTTGCTTCATCAAGCCACCCCCCCGCCCCAACTGCCGGTGCCCAACGACAGAGGACCAACAACACAGGAAGCGGATTTGCGACGAGACGGGGACGGGCCTCCACCCTGGGAGGCGCGCTGCGCCGGCTGCGCCGGGGAAGGAGTTGGGCTCGGTGCGGTGACGGCGGTGACGCCTCTGAAGTTGCTTCGGGGGGCATGAACAAGGGAACTTGTCTTGTCCGCTTCAGGCAGATTCCAGGAGAGAGTGGTTCAAGGTGGCAGTAGAACTTGCTGCAGGGTTTCGGAGCTTCATCCAGTGCTACATGGACCCTGCAATGCACGCGTCTCATAAGCAAAGCTTGCACTCTTTGCGGATGCTGCCTTGTTGCCTTCGAAGGGCATCCGAGCTGGCCCGCTCCAACCTTCGAGCAGAACTCGGCCGTATCCTACACTTGTAGCAAAGGGCTCAGGGTATATGGGTCATGTACGGGGGGGTTAGAATAGTGGAGGAGATTAAAGGCATTCTGGGAGTCTTGGAGGGCTTTATGGCCTCCGAGCACTGCCTTGCCGACTCTTTCTACTCGCCCCGATGAGTTCTTATTCCCATCAACTTGACAAGCCGCCGCTCACCCGCAGATGCTCTTGCACTTTGCACTTTCTGTGGCCGAGGCGCTCCATTCTGGATTCCATGGGCCGATTTGGATCTGGAACAGGGAGGCCCTCCGGGAAGAGAGCCTGAACTTCTGAGGTTCGAACACTTTGATGACACGTGGAAATGACGGTTGGCGATGCCACTGCCGAGATTGGGGTTTCCGAAATTAGGGGTGCCTTGTTGGGGTCCTGATTGTAAGGGAAACCAACTTTTTGGTGGAAAATATTTGGGCTCCCTTGGTATCGTGAACCCCCATATGATGACAAAGGGATCTGAGTGAAACCCAAAGGTAGTCGCTCGGCCCTGGCCGAGCTGCAAGGATCTGGCGAGCCACGTAGCTTGGCTCCTGGAAACATCTCCAACCAATCGCCACATCCCTTCTCAGGGCAACAAAATTGCCAAGACAGCACGCTTCAAGCTCAACATGTACAACTTGTTTGTCTACATTCTTGCGTATACTTGTGTATAGAACCTACATGTGTATACCTTTGGGAGGAACGGGCTTTCGACCCTTGGTCTCATCGGCATATTGTACCTCGCGCGGTCCTGCTCGCAAGTGAGAGGCCCATCTCCCTGCAAGCTCTCGGGTTTCGGTAAGGGGATGAAGAAGGGCCCAGGAAGTGACAGAAAGGCCTGGACTTGTTTGCCCCGCCCCCCAAGATGGGCCCAAGAAGGGACAGAAAGGCCTGGACTTGTTTGCCCCGCCCCCCAAGATGGGCCCAAGAAGCGACAGAAAGGCCTGGACTTGTTTGCCCCGCCCCCCAAGATGGGCCCAAGAAGGGACAGAAAGGCCTGGACTTGTTTGCCCCGCCCCCCCAAGATGGTCCCAAGAAGTGACAGAAAGGCCTGGACTTGTTTGCCCCGCCCCCCCAAGATGGTCCCAAGACGTGACAGAAAGGCCTGGACTTGTTTGCCCCGCCCCCCAAGATGGTCCCAAGACGTGACAGAAAGGCCTGGACTTGTTTGCCCCGCCCCCCAAGATGGGCCAAGAAGTGACAGCAAGGCCTGGACTTGTTTGCCCCGCCCCCCCAAGATGGGCCCAAGAAGTGACAGAAAGGCCTGGACTTGTTTGCCCCGCCCCAAGAAGTGACAGAAAGGCCTGGACTTGTTTGCCCCGCCCCCCAAGATGGGCCCAAGAAGTGACAGAAAGGCCTGGACTTGTTTGCCCCGCCCCCCAAGATGGTCCCAAGACGTGACAGAAAGGCCTGGACTTGTTTGCCCCGCCCCCCAAGATGGTCCCAAGAAGTGACAGAAAGGCCTGGACTTGTTTGCCCCGCCCCCCCAAAATGGGCCCAAGAAGTGACAGAAAGGTTTGCCCCGCCCCCCAAGATGGTCCCAAGAAGTGACAGAAAGGCCTGGGCTTGTTTGCCCCGCCCCCCAAGATGGGCCCAAGAAGTGACAGAAAGGCCTGGACTTGTTTGCCCCGCCCCCCAAGATGGGCCCAAGAAGGGACAGAAAGGCCTGGACTTGTTTGCCCCGCCCCCCAAGATGGGCCCAAGAAGCGACAGAAAGGCCTGGACTTGTTTGGCCCGCCCCCCCAAGATGGTCCCAAGAAGTGACAGAAAGGCCCAAGAGAGAATGGCCTGGACTTGTTTGCCCCGCCCCCCAAGATGGGCCCAAGAGAATGGCCTGGACTTGTTTGCCCCGCCCCCCAAGAAGTGACAGAAAGATGCCCCGCCCCCCAAGATGGAAGTGACGAAAGGCCTGGACTTGTTTGCCCCGCCCCCCAAGATGGTCCCAAGAAGTGACAGAAAGGCCTGGACTTGTTTGCCCCGCCCCCCAAATGGGCCCAAGAAGTGACAGAAAAGGCCTGGACTTGTTTGCCCCCCCCCCCAAAATGGTCCCAAGAAGTGACAGAAAGGCCTGGACTTGTTTGCCCCGCCCCCCAAGATGGGCCCAAGAAGTGACAGAAAGGCTTGGACTTGTTTGCCCCGCCCCCCAAGATGGGCCCAAGACGTGACAGAAAGGCCTGGGCTTGTTTGCCCCGCCCCCCAAGATGGGCCCAAGAAGTGACAGAAAGGCTTGGACTTGTTGGCCCATGGGCCCAAGAAGTGACAGAAAGGCCTGGACTTGTTTGCCCCGCCCCCCAAGATGGGCCCAAGAAGTGACAGAAAGGCCTGGACTTGTTTGCCCTGCCCCCCAAGATGGGCCCAAGAAGTGACAGAAAGGCCTGGACTTGTTTGCCCCGCCCTCCAAGATGGTCCCAAGAAGTGACAGAACGGCCTGGACTTGTTTGCCCCGCCCCCCAAGATGGGCCCAAGAAGTGACAGAAAGGCCTGGACTTGTTTGCCCCGCCCCCCAAGATGGTCCCAAGAAGTGACAGAAAGGCCTGGACTTGTTTGCCCCGCCCCCCAAGATGGGCCCAAGACGTGACAGAAAGGCCTGGGCTTGTTTGCCCCGCCCCCCAAGATGGGCCCAAGAAGTGACAGCAAGGCCTGGACTTGTTTGCCCCGCCCCCCAAGATGGGCCCAAGAAGTGACAGAAAGGCCTGGACTTGTTTGCCCCGCCCCCCAAGATGGTCCCAAGAAGTGACAGAAAGGCCTGGACTTGCTTGCCCTGCCCCCCAAGATGGGCCCAAGAAGTGACAGAAAGGCCTGGACTTGTTTGCCCCGCCCTTCAAGATGGGCCCAAGAAGTGACAGAAAGGCTTGGACTTGTTTGCCCCGCCCCCCAAGATGGGCCCAAGACGTGACAGAAAGGCCTGGGCTTGTTTGCCCCGCCCCCCCAAGATGGGCCCAAGAAGTGACAGCAAGGCCTGGACTTGTTTGCCCGCCCCCCAAGATGGGCCCAAGAAGTGACAGAAAGGCCTGGA